AAAAATTTAAAAAAATAATGATTAAAAAACAATAATTAGTAGATGTGAAAAACATTACCATTGAAATCTACCTGATGACTTTATATCCATGCTCAGATGCCTAGAAGCTCAGAAAGTAACCAACTGTGAGTAGTAATAATCAGATATTTAGAGATTAGAAATGCATGTGCAAACATCCAATGTCAATTGCATTGAAAAAGAATTTTTCTATATGAAACTGTGTATTATAATAATGAAATGGAGATCTTTTTAAAGGTTAAAACATCATTTAATTTATGTCTTATAGGGTTTATACTGAGTACAATATTGTATAACTGTAATAATTCAACTGTAAACCTAAAAATTTAGAGCCAAATTTGAAAGAGATGCATCCTACCTCAGGAAAACGTTATTGAATACGTCAATTGTGTTGTAATGATATGCTTCTTCTAAGTATGTTGTTATTAAATAAATCATTTTTAAAAATTAAAAAAAAAAACATCACAAATGTATGTATGATAGAAGATATCAATTAAAAGAATATAATGAATCTTGATATAATGACTGATTTTCAAGAAAACAGGTGACCAAGTGTGATGATTAGCATCAATTGTCAACTTGATAAAATCTAGAATCACCTGGTCTCTGACTGTGTTGGTGGGTTGTCTTAATCATGTTGGTTGAGGGAGGAAGACCTGCCCACTGTGGGTGGCACCATCCCCATCTTAACCAGGACTATATAAAGTAGAGAGGACCAACTGAACTCAGCATTCATTGCTCTTTGTTCTTGACTGTGGTTGGGATATGATCAGCTGCTTCAAGCTCCTACTGCCTTGACTCCCCCCACCATCATGGATTGTGTGTTGAACTATGAACTAAAATAAACTCTTTCTCCCTTAAAAAAAAAAAATTTCCTTAGATGAAAATGCTGGCCCAGAAGAAAAGCAGATTGTTCTTTATTCTGGCTATGGTACTTCTAAGTACATTATTCTCCAGCTCTTTAATGTCTCTTGTTACCTCATTCACTGATACGATTTTAAATCCAAAAGATGTGATATTCACAAGCCAACCTTCTCCTCTCACCTCTGTAGTCTGGCATGTACTTTGTAATGTTCCTTAGGCTGTGGCTACCTCTGAATGAGTATGCAATTCATTTGGTTGGCAATAACAAATATGATCCTCAGTTTTTGTTGGCTGTGTCGCATTCTTTTCTGGCTGTGATGGGAATAAGGTGTTCTAAAAAAGGTCAGGTTTTCTGCATTGTTTCTTTTCATCATCCTTTCTGTTACTAATTATGTATGCTAATCTTGGAAAAGCTGAGAAATCAAGATACTAAACCAATTCAAACCCAGCAAATATGCCTGAAGTATGAACGAACCTATATAGTACAGTGTCCAGCACCTACTAAGAAGATGTTAAATAATTTTTTGGTGACTTTACAATTTCTTACACATAAATCAAATTGTTTAAAATGTATTGCTAGTAGTTTATGAAAAGTAAAGTCTGCTCTCTAGATTCAAGATAATACCCCATGAGTTGGTGGTATATGGCTACTGTGAGCGGGTTCTGACAGAAACGTTTTTTTTTTTGTACAGAAAAAAACAATTATTTTTCTAACACATTAAAATAATTAAGCAATATTTGACTCAAACTTACCTGGGTCAAACACGAAGTGATCTAGTCTATGGAGAAAAACTGAGCATATGAATATTTCTGATCTGTACACATGGATGATTGAGAAAAAGCAAAATATGTCATGTTATGGCTTCCAGTATACTTAAGAACTACCAAATATCTTAAATCACAGGAGTTGTAGGAAAAAATCCTTGTCTGCAATCAGAGGCAAGCAAGTCTTTAATAAATCAACCACAAACACAGCACAATATTTAAATATACAGTAGGAACATTTATTTTAACACTCCTAAAAGATTTTTCCATGCCTGATGATTTGATATAAAAATCAAACCCATCATACTTTTCCCATCAGTTTCTCTACATCAAAGGCAATCAGAAATTTGTACAACATGAATATTTGTTTCTGAAACAAAAATTACAAATTAAGCAATAACAAAAATACACAAATCAACTGGACCCTAGATGAATTTCTAATGAATTCTTTCCTCTTTTCCTCAATCACCTAGAGCTTCTTTCTTCAGTTTCATTTTGCTCCTTTTCCTTTCTTTGCTTCGCCATGAACTTCTGTCAAAAACAATTTGCAAAATTAAACACCTGTTAGATATTGCTTTGCTATGTGTGAAAGCCTAAATGTATTTCATTGTATTTATAGTATTAAAGTGCCTTAGTTATTTCTTCCTTTCATTAATCAGTCTTCTGATTATTTTCTGATAACACCAGGTTATTATGCTAGTACCTGCCTGATTTAGTAGTCAACAAGACAGATAAGGCACTTTATACCAGATGCTTACACTTTAATGAAGAAAGATAAACAAAAAACAAAAATAAATGCGACCATTTGAGGTGATTGTAAGCATTCTAAATTTTTAACAACAAAGTCTCAGATGCAACTCAGTCTTAAAGTGTATTTTACTGATATGTGCCTGTTCTTGGGTTCAATCTCTAGCAACACAAAATTTAGTAAAAATAAAATAGTAAGAGTGGGGCTAGAGAGATGGCTCAGTGGTTAGGAGCATTGACTGCTCTTGCAGAGGACCCTCGTTCAATTCCCAGCACACACATGGCAGCTAACAACCACCAGTAATGCCAGTTCTAGGAATCTGACACCTTCTTCAGCCCTCCACAGGCACTGCACAACATGGGTGCACTTACATATGCAGGCAATACACTCATACACATTAAAAAATAATAATAATAGAGGAACTATGACTAGGATGAGCTTTTTGTGGATGAAGGATGGAGTTATTTACTTTAGGTTTTGGTTTTTTTTTGAGACAGGGTCTCCTTGTAGCCCCAGCTGACCGGGAACTCACAATGTAGACCAGGCTGGCCTTGCACTCACAGAGATCCGCTTGCCTCTGCAGGGATTAAAGGTGTGCACCACCACACTTTGCTACTTTAGCTTTCTTAAGCAAAGGCCTTTCTAAACAGCTAATATTTAAGTTGAGATCAAAAGCTGAAGATGAACTGGCTTCCCAAGGAACAGCAAGCAGCAGTACAATGGTACAATGGCAGTGAGAGGTCTCTCAGGTATAAAGGATGGAACAGGCAGCTAGAAAAGCTGAAATGCAGCAGTACAACACTGAGTTCGGTGAAGCAAAAAGAAAGCAGACCATGTAGGGTCTTAGAGAACCACAATAAGTTTGTTTATTATTTCAAGTGCCATACAAAGATATTGCAAGATTTTTTTTTTTTTGGTCTTTTTGAGACAGGGTCTCCCTGTAGCCCCAGCTGTCCTGGAACTCACTATGTGGACCAGGTTGGCCTTGAACTCAGAGATCCACCTGCCTCTGCCTCCCGAGTGCTGGGATTAAAGGCGTGCACCACCACACCCGGCACTAGATATTGCAAGATTTTAAATGGTAGGATATACCAAGTTAGAAGCACAAGAAACTCAGTAAAATGTATAAGAGACTGGACCTAGAATTCAACAAAGCTAGGTTCAAATCCTAAGTCCTACCTAGGTCAGCCACTACCAAGGTCAGTTTAGACATTTAAATTTATTTATTTATTTAAATATATGTATTTACGTGTATGAGTGTTTGGCCTGCATGTATGTAAATGTACCACATGTGTACAATGTCCATGGAGGCCAAAAGAGGCTTTCAGATCCCCTTTGACCAACACAGGGTTAAAGACAGTTGTTAGCTGCCATGTGGTGCTGGGAACCAAACCTAAGTCCTCTGCAAGAACAGTCAGTGCTCTTAATCACCGAGCCATCTTTCTAGTCCCCTGGTTTAGAAACTTAATCTCCTGAAGTCTGTGTCTTCATCTTTAAAACCAAAATAACATCAACCACTTCATTAAAGGGGATGAGATTAAAAAAGATGATGGGATTATAAAGGAATAACCTGCTCAGTAACTGCTAGGTGAGAGCCTGTGCCCCACATTTAATACAAGGGATATATAAAAAACCTTAGACAGTCAGAAATCAGAACCATCACTTCAACTATTGCTAAAAATTATTCTGTTGAGTACCATTTCTTCAAGATGTGTACTACAAAAGAAGGTTCTATGATTAAATCAGTTTTAGAAACTTAATTTTTCTGACTAGACAATTCAGAAATATCAATATGCTAACGGTTTTGACTTTGTAGCAGGACACTGAGATATGAAGTTTCTTACATTTTAAAATATTTTATTTATTATTTTTATGTGTATGAGTATATTGTCTGCATGTATGTAAGTGCACCTGTGTCAAGCAATGACCATAGAGGTCAGAAGAGGATGCTGGATCCCCTGGAACAGACAGCTGTTAGCTACCATGTAGGTGCTGGGAACCAAACCTGGGTCATCTGCAAGAGCAGTCAGTATTCTTAACTGCTAAACCATCTCTCCAGCCCTGCTTCTCACAATTTAGAAGAGTTCCACAAGCAAGAGACTACTTTGTATACAATCTGTTCTGGAAAATGCTATCATTCCAGGAAAAGGAGTAAGGGCTGGAAATTACAGCAAGGAGATGATGAAGAAAAAGGATTTGGGACTTAGAAGGAATGAACTGGCATAAGTATCCAAAAGTTCTCACAAAAAGAAAAGAAACACAACACTTTTGGGTAGATTGTTATTTTAAATTTAAAGATAATCACAGCACTGGAAGATCTTTGAGTTACCTCTGTATTCTGCTTATGACGTGTGCTCCTACAATGATTTATCATTGCTTTTTCACCTGAGTAGAAGAGGGAGCAAATTGGACAGAAGAAGCCAGCCTTTGGTACAAGGAAGTCTAAACCTAGATGATAGAAGGGAGAGAAATGGAAGAAAGTAGCATTATCAACAGGGCCAATGACTTTACACACTTCTGACAAACACACTAAGCACAGTGTATACTTAAACACAAGCACTATATACCACTGCTATGTACGTAGGATCAAGAGCAGTAACTTCAATCACAAAGCATGTTTGTTTTTGTCTTTTTGAGAGTCCTGGGGATTGAAATTGGGCATGCTAGTCAAGTGCACTACAACTTAGCTACAATATGAAACATGCATCTTTATTTAACATATTATGCCACATTCCAGAGCCTCCAGGGAAGCCAGAATGCCACTGCACTGCAAGATATCACTGGAGAATCTCCAGATAAGGAGGAAAAGTTCACTTCTCATTTTTTCTTTTTCGTTTTGTCTTTTTGAGACAGGGTCTCCCTATAGCCCCAGCTGGCCTGGAACTCCCTATGTAGACCAGGTCAGCCTTGAATTCACAGAGATCCTCTGCCTCCCAAGTGCTGGGACTAAAAGCACACTTCTTAAGAATAGCAACTCTGCCAGACTTGGTGGTGCATGCCTTTAACCCCAGCACTGGGGAAGCAGAGGCAGGAGGATCTCTTTTAGTTCAATGCCAGCCAGGGCTACATAGTGAGTCCTTGTCTTTTTAAAAAAAAAAAGGGGGGGGCTAGAGAGATGGCTCAGTGGTTAAAGAGCACTGGCTGATCTTCCAAAGGAACTGGGTTCAATTCCCAGCACCCACATGGTGACTAATAACCATCTGTAACTCCAGTTCCAGGGGATCTTCTAGCCTCTGCAAATATTGCCTGATATGGGAACTTACATACATGGAGGCCAAACACTCATATACACATAAAAAAATGAGTAAAAGCATAGCAATTCATTGGTTAAGAATGTGAAACATTTTGAAAATACCGTTAAAGCACAAGAAGGTGAAGAGACAGAACAGAATAATGGGCAACTGTCTGCTGGCCGAGTATGCCGCTAACAAAATTAGATCCCCTCAACTCAGCTAAGTGGTTGTGAACAAAGTCTGCTATTTAAGCTTTTCAAGCTTGTTTTGCTTGACTCGAGTTTCTGCTTGGGCAAGTGTAACTCGATATTCACCAGAGAAGCAACAAAGCACAAGAAGGGAAAAAGGAGCTAATATTCCAGACTTCAAGAATACAATAAAAATACCCTTGCCAGATTAAAAACAACAAAAACCAACCTAGCTGTCTTCAGAAATAGCAAACAAGATTACTTAATTATTCATGTAGACAACAAAACACTTGAGATGCTCAATTTTTACTTCATAGAGTTAAGAAAAATGTCAGTTTTACTTTACCTTCAGACACATCAGGTGCCACTGATTTACCTAAAGGAGAATCTTCAGTCTTCTTGCGTTTTTCTTCAGGTTCTGAATCCTTTATTTCAGCTTCTTCATCAACTAAAAAGTCATTAAAAGTTTCAAGGAAAAAAATGTAGTTACTTAAATAGATTTACAGATTTGGTGATGTTAATAAAGGATACTCTCTACTTTCCAAAGCTAACTTGAAACAGTAGAAACTACCTTTGGTTAATGCTTCTTTGATCTAAGAAATAAATGGACAAATCTGTTTAGATTCATTAAATGACTAAGGGGTACAGGGCTAAAGCCAGAAGAAAATTTGATTACTATATAGCTCCAGAAACAATCCGAAAATTGATGAAATCCTTTCAGTTAGTATATAAGACAAAGGGCTTCATGGTGACATTTCCACTGTATTGCAATCATACTAACCCCCTTCTTCCTCTCATCCATATAGTTCTTTTGCTTTCGTGCCGTATATATTTGTCTAGATTTCACATAAGAGAAAACATGCTATTTTTCTCTAGCCCCATTACATTCTCTTGTTTTGTCTTTTTTTCTCTCTCTTTAGTACCCCTACCCGGATCCTCCTTCTAAGAAGTCAAGTTCGGTAGGTTATTGGCAAGAGTTAACTTAAAAGCCAGGTGCTGAGCTGAGGAAAAATAAGAGATTAGTGGAAAAGGACACTAACAGAAAAATAATTCTGTCCTATGCCCTTTGGACTTAGAAAACGGAGTTTATAGATACCCTACTCTTTACTAAATATGAGGTGATGGTTCAGAACCTTGAAATTATTACTTATTCTTTTATTCACTATATTTTATTGGGCATCAAATCTTATGTCTATTTAAGGAGAGAGAGGCTTTTTTCTTGACTTGATGGTTAAAACAGCCCATTCTTCCTGCTTCTAGTCTATTTTCCTTCAAAAGTTTTACTTTGTGTATATGTGTGTTTTGCCCGCATGTATTTAAGTCAACCTATGTTGTACAATGATCACAGAGGTCAGAAGAGGGCATAAGATCCCCTGGGACTGGGGTTACAGATGGTTGTTAGCCATCAGGTGGGTGCTGAAACTGAACCCATGTCCTCTACTAGAGCAGTCAGTGCTCTTAACTGCTGAGCTATCTCTCTAACCCCTCTTCCTAATTTCTTACCAGAGTAATAAACTTCCTTAAACACATCTGCATTTGCCACTCCAAAGGTATGTGTCTTACTAATATATATTATATGAAATCCATATAATAAATAGATTAAAACAAATCATTTAAGTTTAAAATTGAGTGGAAGATGACTTTTAGGCCCTTTCATCATGTTATTATCCATAATGGAAATACAGTTATTAAATAAGCAGTACATAAAGTATCCCTTCTATATAGCTCAGTTGAGCAGAGGCAGTTCTTAGCTAGTGTCAAAGTTGATCTATCATAACAGAAATTTAAATTAAAAATTTTTTTTATTGTGTTAAGTGTTTTGCCAGCATGCATATTAAGGGTATCTGTGTTGTGTAATGCCCATAATGGCCACAAGAGGGCACTGGATCACCTGGAACTGATGTTATAGACCGTTGTTAACCACCATGTGGATGCTGGGAATCAGACCCAGGTCCTCTCCAAGAGCAGCCAGTGCTCTTAACCACTGAGCCATGCTAGATGTCATTTGGGAGATATAAATATTAACTATAGCTTAGTGTCAAGATTTATTATAGAAAAGAACTGAAAAGGAAGGAGGACTACCCACTTGATCATGGGAGAGTCCAGAGGGCATATAAGCAGTAACAAGTGATATAGAAAACACAAGACTAAATTAAGAGGAGGAAACACTTTAAACATTGTGCCTGACCAGGATAAGAAATTCATCAAAATTCCAGAAAGGTGATAAAGATATCAAAATACATCCACTTCAGTGGAAAACAGATGGTAAAACAGGTGGCTCTTACACCACAGCTACTCTGTAGCTAAAGGGAGTTTAGAACAGTGGGGTTTTTTGTTTCTTTTTGTTTTTGGTTTTTTTCTAGTGACAAAGATTAGGCTGTATTTTTTACATGTAGGAGTCAAACAGGTAAAACTCCAGTTGGCCAGCAGGGGAGATACATTTTCTCTGGTAAACAGAAAGGAAAGCAGTGAGGAATTGACAAAGTGATGGAAAAGAAGGAAAAGGCTTGGTTATACACTTGGTTAGTAAACAAGAAAATATAAAGGTCTCTTAGAGACTGTGGAGCAGCAAGGGTACACAGGGACCAGTTTCAAAGAACTTCTTGGAGTGAATCAAAATTGACAGTTATTCCTTAGACTAGAGGGCAAGGAGAAAGGGATACCTTCAAGTCACACTGGGAGTTGATACTTTTGCTTACCTCTCCAAATAAAAAAACTCCTTGAGATCAAGAATTATACACTATTATCCATCCATTTTAGTATTTTACTATAGACAATATGCAAGATGATGAATATAGTGACAAGTATCTACTAAGTGACTAGACATTGGTACTATTTATTTATTTATTTATTTATTATTTAGTCTTTTTGAGACAGGGTCTCGCGGTAGCTCCAGCTGGCTTGGCACTCACAAAGATCCACCTGCCTCTGCCTTCCAAGTGCTGGGTTTTAAAGTGTACACCACCACACCCGGCTGGTCCTTATTTATTTCAACTTAAATTTTACCAATGCTATTCAGACATTTTAATTTATTGGTTGGAGACTCAGAAGCAACCACAAATAACAGTAGTAGTTAATAAACAACTGTTCCCTAATACCATGACATGGTCCTAATAATCTCTTGTACGTTATTTTTACAAATAACCCTCATTCCAGTTATCAATGTTCCAAAATCTCTCTAAATTATAAAGTTAAAAATCTTACCTGGATCTTACAAGCCTGCCTGCTGCCTTTCTATTTTTCTCAGATGAAAATGCTACCATGATCTCACTGTGATTCTTTCCCTACCCCAACAGTCCACTTCCTTCACTCATTTGGAGAGCATCTTTACCTTCTGCTGGGTCTGCTATTACAGTTTTTTGTGAGGGTGGTGATTTGCCAATTCTAACTCTCTTCACTAGTGTTTTAGCTTAAAAAAAAAAAAAAAGTCCAATTTATTGCTCTATTAACAGTATTTAAATAGCTTTAAATCTAATGTAATAAACTTACAATTTCAATGCCTTACTTTGTTGTAAAAAATACCCAAATTTGGGGAGGATGCTTTTATGTTTGGTTTGAAGCAGAGTCTTTGCTATGTAGCTAAAGGTGACTTTGAATTCATTATTACTGCCTCCATGTCCTGAGAGCTGGGATTACAGACATGTGCTACCACACTTAGCAAATAAACCTATTCCTAAGTAGAAATCTATTTAAAATGGCAGTTTAGTTAAAATATTCTCTTAGGTTCCCATTTATTGTGTTCTAAACAATTATTCTTTCAGATCTCTTCTCAAGGTGGCTGCACACATTTCCCTAGATTGTTTTCAATTTAGTGAGATGTCACAATTATTTTATTCTTAGTTTGGTTCAATTTTAAGGTTTTCTTTCATTTATTTATTCATTTTTTATTTTATTTTTGGGGATAGTGTCTCACTCTAGCTCCAACTGGCCTGGAACTCGCTATGCAGACCAGGCTGGCCTTGATATTATAGAGTCTCCTGTCTCTGCACCCAATGCCATTCCTCCCCCAGTGCTGGGATTAAAGGCATGCATAACCAATCTGGCTTAGAAATTATTTTTCTCCCTCTCATGTGCTGTAAGCAGGTGAAGCTGCTCTACTGTTCAACACCATCAAAATATTGTACAATGTTGAGTGTGGTGACTCTCACTTGTGATTTCAGCACTTGGGAGGCGGAGGCAGGATAATCACTGTAAGTTCAAGGCTAGCTTGGACTGCATTGTGAGTGTTAGGCTAACATGAGCTACAGAGACCTTGTCTCAAAAGATCAACATTAAAGTAAACAGCACCTGAGGTCCATTCTACCTGTTTGACTTGTTCGAAACCTAAGTTTAAGCAAAAACTGGCAGGCACTATTGTGTGGACACCGTTTTGTTCTTTAAAAGCTGTGTAATCATTTTCATTCAGGCTCTACTTTGGCTACTTTAATTTGTTTCCTGGTTTTGTCATCCTTCCTCCAGGTGTAATGACTTGGAACAGCCTGCTCTGTAACTAAGACAAATGTGTGAAACTTGTACATATTTCTGTGGAGAACATTACTGGTTATAATTGTTTCCTGGCTTATATGACATCAATAGACTGAAATTACTGATAATGCTAATGTGTCCAAACCAATTTTGAAAATAATCCCCTCACAAAACAGAAAAACTACCACTTCTATGTATCTACCTGCCAAGTGTCTTTCAAGCATGGATTTCAGATCATCTTGTGTAATGGTCTCACTTCCTGGACCCACTTGGGACAAAGACTCAAGTTTTGTCTTCTTTGGGTCCACAGCTCTCCTCTTTCTATCTCCTTTTTTATCTGTATGGCGATCAGTTTTGCTTTGTGCTAACTCAACTTTTGAATCATTGTCTCCGTCTTCTTCTCCAACTTCATCCACAGTAACAAAATTAAGCTCTTCTTTAAGGTTGTTAAAATCAGCCAGAGAGTCTTCATCCTCTTCAGTTACTTCATCCAAAGTCACTAAATGCAAATCACTGCTGTCATCCTGTATTTCATCCACAGTAACTAAACTAGAAGGGTCTTCAGGCATTTGAGAAGAAATGAACCCAATGGAATCCCTTACAGTAGTTCCTTCATCTCTTTTAGCATTCAAAGTGGAAAAAGTTATGCCTGCTGACTCATTCAAAGGTAACTCTTCCACTTCTCCAATTTCATCCACAGTTACCAAGCGTTCCTGTTTAAGAAGATCTTGTTCTTCAGCCATGGACAGAATAGTGACATCCTTAGGTTCACTGTGGGAAACGCAATCATCTTGGTCAATTAATTCATCTAATGTAAGAAGGGAATTTGAATTTTTTACTATTTCTTCTACGTTGAGCTCTTCTTCATCGATTACTTCATCTACAGTGACTAGAGCTTGTGTGGCGGCATCTTCCTCTTCTCCAATCTCATCTAATGTTACAAAAGATAATTCTCCCTCAACACGAGATGGCTCAGCGGTTTCCCCCTTCTTTTTTAAATTAAGTTCTGAGGAAGAAGAACTTTTGAGAGCTTCTTTTCTTTTTCCTTTTAACAAGTTCTGCTTTGGTTCCCAATGGAATCCCTTACAGTAGTTCCTTCATCTCTTTTAGCATTCAAAGTGGAAAAAGTTATGCCTGCTGACTCATTCAAAGGTAACTCTTCCACTTCTCCAATTTCATCCACAGTTACCAAGCGTTCCTGTTTAAGAAGATCTTGTTCTTCAGCCATGGACAGAATAGTGACATCCTTAGGTTCACTGTGGGAAACGCAATCATCTTGGTCAATTAATTCATCTAATGTAAGAAGGGAATTTGAATTTTTTACTATTTCTTCTACGTTGAGCTCTTCTTCATCGATTACTTCATCTACAGTGACTAGAGCTTGTGTGGCGGCATCTTCCTCTTCTCCAATCTCATCTAATGTTACAAAAGATAATTCTCCCTCAACACTGTGAGGAACAGAAGTTTTCCCCTTCTTCTTTTTTAAATTAAGTTCCGAGGAAGGAGAACTTTTGAGAGCTTCTTTTCTTTTTCCTTTTAATGAATTCTGCTTCTCTTGAGAAGGATTCACTTCTTCGATAACTTCATCCACAGTAACAAATTCATCCAAATTAAATGTAAATAATGGTTCCTGTTAGAGAGTTAAGAATCAGTATTGTGAACGACGACGGACTACAGGCTAGGTCTCTGAACAGTCACAATAAACAAATATGCAGATCATTTGTGAAAATTTCACTGCAAAGTAGTTTTCCTAAGACTAAAATAAAACTGATGTTAAAATTTAAAAGTTCCTTAAGTAAATAAGTGATGAGGCTGGCAAGATGGTTCAATGGCTAAAAGTGCTTACCACCAAACCTCACAACCTGAGTCTGATCCCCAGGACTTACACGGTGGAAGGAGAGAATGGACTCCCACATATTGTCCTCTAACTTCCATGTGGGCATGTGCTTGTGTACACATACACAAAATAAATAAATGCAATTTAAAAGTTAAAATAAGCGATAATTTGCTTTAAGTAAATACCAAAGGTAATCCTAACAATCCATATTCCATTGTTACATAATTTTAGTAAGATTACAACTGTTTTGTAAAGGACATTTTGAAATATATGGGCACAAAAATACTATACATAAAGCACTTATGAAAACAATACAAAGAATATATCTATTCAATATGCTAAATATATTGCAGGTGCTCTAAAAGAGTTACCAGACTTCTAAAAGCACCTCGAATGTAAGTAGAAAGTAAATAGTTAACTATATTGATCAATTTATATAATACATATTTTAACTTATACAAGGCTAAGATAAGTTTAAAGTTTATTGAGAAAAGTATCTGAAAAGATTATTATTGAGACTTCATAGCTAATATAGTTGTACTGAAAAACATTACTCAAAAAATGGTGCCAACAGTAAAGAAAATAAATTTCCAGCAAGGTTTCTGCATTTTACATGATATCAATGATTCACTGTTAGTACATATATTAATAAACTCTTTAGTCAATCTTAAGATTAAAAAATGAATTAATGCTAGTATAAAAAAAATGGAACATTTCATTCCCATCCTTTGCCCTAATCCTTTATATACTCTCAAACATTTATGTTAACTATGAAAAGGCAAGACTAAGTATAGGACAGATGAATTCTGCTATGGAAGGATGAAAATGATGAATTTGTTCAGTGGCTTTGAAAATCTTACCTCTTTCGATTTGGAACTTCTACCAGTAGTACTTTTAGAATTCTTAGTGTTTTGTCCAGCCAAAGCCTGAAATATTAAGAAAGATAGAAAAACAAGATTTATAATCAGGTTATTAATGTTCTTTAAAAATAAAAAGAACTTAATCAACAAATATCTCAATATGGTCAATTATGCAAATATGTAACCAGTATACAAACCTAAGTCAATAATCATTTAATAGTAGATGCACAGTCTCTAAAAGTTGTACTTAAATTCAGATCTTTTCTTCCCTCTGCCCACAATATCTAAGTTTGGGCAATCAAGTAATCTGATAAAAAGCAGCTTCAATTTAAGAGGAAGAATTTCTCATTCAGAAAGAGAATGCTAAATCATCATCCTAAAAGAGTCACTACAGATTTTTTCTTTAAATTACATAGCTTCTGACCAAATTTCAATTCAGTTACATTTTTGACCAAGTAATACTTTCCAAACCTGTGAGTAAATATGAACTCAATTTGAAATTGATACTCCAAATGTCTACTGGTTTAAATTAATGGACTTGTTTAAGAAAGAAAAATAGGAGCTTAGGGGCTAAAGTGAAGAGATGAAAGTATGAACCAAGACTACATTTCCTACTTCACAGCTACAGCAGCAGAGCTAAGCACTTCAAAGACACATTGAGCCATTCTTCTAGTCTCCTCACCTTGTTGCTGTCATCCCGTTTCATGATGGAAGGTTTAGTCTCTGTTTCCTGAGATTGTTTTGTTATATCCTTGTAATCCAGTTTAGAATCCTTGCACTGAAGGGCTGAGATCCTTCCACTGCCTCCTCTGTTAACACCACTCTGAGTGGGTTTGGATTTACTGCTGCTTTCTGCCAAGCCTGATCTGGTATTTTTAAGCAGGCCAAATTCCTTGGCTGAAAGTTTCTTTTCAGCATTTATTTGATCTCTAAACACAGATTTTGGCAAAGTTTTTTGATTTTCAGTTTTTGAAGTTGTAGTTTTTGCCTTAGGAGATGAGACCACAGCAGTCTTGATGCTTGACTTATTACTACATACATTTGATACAGTCAGCATACTAGTTTTGCTAGTTTCACTAAGCTTACTGGTCTGACCCACTCCTTTATTTGGGTCTGCCTTGATTACAGCACTTTCTACTGGCTTTTCTCTTATTGCTGCTATAAACTTCATTTTTTCTGCAACAATGCTAGCTTCGTTCTTCTCAGTCTTCTCTGTTTCTACTTGCAAGTCCACTCTGGGTTCCTTGGTATTAAATTCATTCTTCTTTTCATCCATGTTACATTTTTCAGAAATATCCTTTTTGTTCACAACCTTCTCATCCTCAGTGCAACTTGCTGGTAACTGGGTCACAACACAAGCAGATGGCACTATTTCCGAAACAGTTTCGTGTTTGTCCGCTTCAGCTATAGCTTCTACCATAGACTGTGTAATTCCAGAAAACATATCTGCTTCAGATGTAGAGTCTTCTGGAATCACCTTGATGTTTCTTTCTTCTATGTATACACTGTCTGATATTGATAGTTCTGCTTCAGGGTCCATAATTTCTGCCGCTTCCTTCTCAAAGTCACCAATGTACACCTGCTGATTTAAAGCAGACCCCTCTATATTTTCAGTGAATAACTCAATGCTAGCTGGAGTGGATGCTACAGGAGGAATTTCTATGTTGATTTCTGCTTCCTGACTTTCATTTTCCAGTGTTTCAATCCCAAAGTCAGACTCACACAATGCTTGTTCCGGTTCTTCCTCACCAAGTTTTTCCTGCTGTACTGAAGTTTCTGTTTGAATATTGAGAGTAGTTTCTTCTTCAACCTCACTAGGTTTAACAGAGGGACTATCAGCTGCTGTTTGTACCTCATTTTCATCAACAGGATTGATTTTCAAGTCAGGGCTAAAAGTATTTAAAAACAAACAAAGAAGAACACAAAAACAAACAAAAATCAAACTATGATGAGAATTCAATCATTATAAATAACCCTGCTGATGCCAACAAATTGTAAAGGTTTCCTGATGCACAAGTTTATTATAAGCCCTGGGAAATCCAGCCAATCAGCATTAAAGTGGCTACAACATTGTGCTATAAATAAATAATCAAGATAAAAAATTAAAGATCTTCCATATCACTGAAGATTTTTCTTTAACTTAAAGGAAATAATGGCAGAACTATGGTTATCGTCCTTTAACTCAAAAGAGTTAACAACTTTTCACTCCCATGTCAAGTTTCCACCTGACAAGGCAATTTTGAGATATCTCAGATTATTATTAAATTCTATCCTCATAATACAGGTAACTGAAATAATGAAATATGTATACAGTTCTAAAAAAAGGTTAGTGGTCCATACAAGGAAATTTAAAATGAATAGGTAAACTTACATAAAAAGAATATAAAAATAAATTGTCAGGGATAGAAATGCCGCTTAACCATTTTACCTCTTATTTTTAGATGCAAGAGATATAATTTTCCAAGAAGTGTATTTTTGAATGATAGTACTTAATTTTTTTTTCAGAAGAGCCTAAGTAGCTATTAGAAACTTAAGAGATAAAATGGTTAGAATCACCTTAACATGAACATACAGTCTTACTAAAAAAAAACTGTTGAGTTAACAAAAAAAATTTCAATAGTTTAGAAGAAATGTAGGAAATACATGGCCAAGTATATGTAACTGATCTTATCTCATCATGGTCTTCCCAAATCCAAAATAAGTATATGATTTTGTAATCACAACACATTAATACCAATAGTTAAAGAATATTAATTTTTTTCCTAGTGTTTCAAGGAAAAAAAGGATAAGCTATCCTCTCTGACATGCTTTTCAAGGGATGGCCACATATACTTAAAGTCACAATGCAAGATAACATGTATCAGTGCCCTGGAATGTTAATTATATTTCAGAAATTTGGAAAAGGTGCTACCACACCAGGATTTAGTTATTTCAATAAATAAATTGGTTCTCCCAGAATAACTAGAAGTTCATGAAGAACACTTCTACCAGATCAGGGAAATATACTGCTCAAAAGTTGTTAAGTTTAAGGACTCACAAACTTTAATAACAATATATTCTACTTTCTGCATGAGCTACTGGGAATACTGAAAGGCTTCAATCTGAAATGACTTACATTCCTAATACTGAAAATACCACACGCTGATACTTTCACAAAATGTTAAGACTAAAGTAAAACTATGACATTCATAGTTATATGGATAATTCTCAAAATATAAACTTTTAAAATTACAAGATTCATATCAATAATAAACAACAAATCCTAACTCCCACCTTATTATTGAGCTGTATATTAATCCTAAAGGTTTATATATTGGGCTATATAAAAACATTTATGGCCAGGCATAGTGGTATATGCCTTTAATCCCAGCACTTGGGAGGCAGAGGCAGGCAGATCTTTGTGAGTTTCAGGCCAACCTGGTCTACATAGTGAGTACCAGGCCAGCTGGGGCTATAGGGAGACCCTGTCTCAAAAAGACAAACAACAACAACAACAAAACATTTATGAGGCTAAACAAATAACATGATGATTATCTTGATCTTGGCTTAAGGATATATAACAAGACTTTCTCCTTTACTATACTGAAAGGTTATAAACAGTTACTACCTTTTACACAAAAAGATCATGCAATTCCACATTCGAAACAGAATACAGATCTATTTGTAGAAATGGAATTTGTAAAAATGGTTTAATTCCATATCTTCCTTGTGAGCCAGTATCTCTTTAACGATTATTTATTTATGTGTATGTATGTGAGCCTGGGTGAAATTGTGTGTATCACATGCATGCAGGCACCCACAGAGGGCACTGGACTCCTGGAACTGGAGTTGCAGGCATGTGAATGCTAGGAACTGAACCCAGTTTTTCCGAAACAGCAGTAAGGGCTCTTAATCGCTGAGCCACCCCTCCAGAGCCCCTGTGGGCTTTCTTCATAGAAACTGTTTACCAAAAATGAGTGTCTTGTTTATTGCCTAGTATGAGAAAAAGCTTCCATGTTGACCAGTTTAAAATGTCATTATTAACAGTATTATTAACAATAGAATTAAACAGCTAGTGGGTTTTTTGTTTTGATTTGTTCTGTTTTTTATAGATCAAAGGAAAACAGTCATATTCTGGGAAACAACACAAAACTTTTCCAGAAAGGCATTCCATACATAGTAAGTACCTAATATCCTATTCTCCTATCCCACCCACATACTCCATAAGCTCAGAATTTCACAACTTTTACAAACACACATACAACAAAAGTTGAGCACAAGAATAAAGGTTAAACACCAAAACACACACATCCCAAGACATTTTAGAATGAGATCTAACAATACTGAAAATTAATGTTTATATCAGAATACCACCAGATAGCTCCCAACAATAACAAAGGGAAATTTTATTTAGCATCCTTATTTGAAGCATTAATCATATGATAAAAAATATAATTTATATGCAGGACAAATGAAGAAACAATTTCATTATTATTAAATTATGAATGTAAAATTTCCAACAAATAATCTATGTATGTCATTTATACTTATTAGAAAAACAGCATCATATTCATGATTAACTAGCAACCACAAGTACTTCTTTAAAAAAAAAGTTAAGGAAAAAAGCACAATAATTAACACTAGTATTTTCTTGGCATAAGTTTACTCCAAAAGTTAAGTAGTCTGGCTATATCCTTCACATTTTTCTCTGTCATATAAGACAGAAAAAAGTGACAGCAAAATGGGAAGAAGTATTTAATAATAAAAATTTTAAAGTTAGTAAGACTAGAAACTATACATTTGTTAATACTTTTTTTTCTTTTTTGCGACAGGGTCTTTCTGTAGCCCTAACTGCCTGGAACTCACTATGTAGGTCAGGCTGACCTCAATCACACACAGAGATCCATCTGCCTCTGCCTCCTAAGTGCTGGGAGTAAAGGCATGTGCCACCATTTAAAAAACTTTTTTATTTTTATTTTTAAGTTTTTATTTGCCTGCACATATCTAAATATACCTGTGTGCATGGAATGCCCAAGGCCAGAAGAGAGCAGGGGATCCCCTGGAACTAAAGTTACAGAAAACTTTTAGCTGCCACATAGGTGCTGGGATTTGAACCCAAGTCTTCTGTAAGAGCAGTCAGGGCTCTTAACTGCGGAGTCATCTCTCCAGCCCAGTAATAATGCTTTCTTTAAAAAATTTATTATTTTTATTTTATGTGTATGAGTGTATTGCCTGCACGTATGTGAGTGCACCCATGTCGTGCAATGCAGCAGAGGTCAGAAGAGGGCTTCGGATTCCTCTGGAACTGGAGTTAAGGATGCTTTATAGCTGCCATGTGGGTGCTGGGAACCGAACCAGGGTCCTCTGCAAGAGCAGTTAGTGCTCCTAACCGCTGAGCCATCTCTCCAGCACCCAAATAATACTTTTAAAGTATGTGAATATAACAGATTTGAGGATGGATAACTTATGGTCTGTGCTAACACATATAGAAAACCATTAATAGCTTACAAGTTACCATGTATTTTAATGTGCTCGTAAACATTTTTATCAGTTGATTTTATAAAAAAACTAATGAAAAGAAAAACTCTGTAGAGCAATGCTCTTAAGGCATTTAAAAATTAGTGCATCAAATGAACAGTTTCTATATTTAAACATTTTCAAATTGCTGTTTCAAACTTATATGATCTTACAACACGGGCTAACAAATAGCATTAATCAATTAGTATATACCATGGCTAAAACAAATGTGAGTCACTACTTTGAAGAGACTGAAAAAAACCAAGCTTTCATCATTATATACATGGTAGCACATATGTGTTTATATATATATATACATATATACACATATACATATTTCTATTTCATACACCAGCTGTTCTAAAAAGGTACCAAGTTTTCAAACATACACTGAAAATTTTTTTTAAATTTTAAGCTGATGAAATTTTAAAAGGTTAAAAATTTAAAATTATATATATAACTATTTTGGAACAGAAAAATCTAATGAAAGAATATGTCATACTTATTACAGATTTCAGTTGTTCAAGGGTGTTTGCAAAACATAAGTAACTTTTATATATATTCAAACTCTTTACACATTTAGTTTCTCAAAGTATTAATCAGGAAGTACCTCAATGAGATAAAAACAAAAACAAAAAAGCACAGCCCAACCAAACCACAAGGCCAAACAAAACCAAAAGAAAAACCACGAGCTTCTGCATACACAAAAGGAGTTGGCAAGGTAGGAACTGTCTGGCACATGACAGCTATTAGTGTAAAATACAGAAAGCAAAGGCAGTAACTAAACAAGATACAAAATGTTAGCAACTTAATGTGACATACCTTTCTTTTCCTGGTTCTGGATATTTCTCAGTTGGAACCTATAATGTAATTCACATTTATCAGAAATTATGCTAGTGGATTTTGAGTATTTAATTCACCAACTCAATATTTTCAGTTTAAATATAAATAACAAAAGGCTGGTAGGGAAGGCTCATCTTAAAATAAAGGAAAGACAGGCCAAGCATGGTGGTACACATTCAAAAGCAGGGGGATCTCTTTGAGTTCAAGGCCAGCCTGGTCTACATAGTTAGTGCCAGGCCAGCCAGAGCTACATAGTGAAACCCTGCCTCAAAAATCCAGAGACACAGACAGAGAGATGTAGAGGAATTAAGTTTTTGTGTCCACATAACTACTGGGTTCCAGAAATTTGTTTTTCTCAAATATACCAAGTAATGAAGTATTGATATAAATGAAAAACTTTTGATTTAGAAAGTCTAGATATACCATCATTTGCTTAGAATAAATCCAATAAATCTTAAATAACACCTTCCTTGTAGAATTACTTTTAAAAGATTCCTATTTATAAGAAAAACTTAAAAATGTTTTTCACGAAGTTGGGCATGAAAGCATTGCCTATAGTCCTAGCTGCTTGGGAGGCTGAGGCAAGTGGATCCCTTGAGTTTAGGGCCTCAAAACTAGCCTATACAAACAACCTAAGACAAATCTTTAAAATAAAACCAATACTGCATACTTAAGACATCTAGAAATGGAGCTGAGCAGATGGTTAAGTTGGTAAAATGCTTACATGAGGACTTAAGTTCAGATGCCCAGCACCCAGGTTAAAAAAAAAAGGAGGAGGAGGAGTATGCCTATAATCCCAGTACTGGCAAGGCAGAGACAGGAGGATTCCTGTGGCTTGCAGCCAGCCAGTCTAGCCAAATCCATGAGCTCTAGGTTCAGTGAGAGGACCTGTCTCAAAAAGTAAGATGACGGGAACTCCGCAGTTAAGAGCACTGGCTGCTCTCCTAGAAGACCTGGGTTCCATTCCCAGCACCCACATGGAGGCCAACAACCACCTATAACTCCAGTTCCAGGGGATCCACACCATCTTTTGGCCTCCACAAGCACTGCATGACACAGGTACATTTATATGCAGACAAAACACTCATACACATAAAATAAAAATTTTAAAAAGTAAGTTTGTGGGAGGCAGAGGCAGGCGATCTCTTTGAGTTCAAGGCCAGCCTGGTCTACATAGTGAGTTCCAGGACAGCTGGGGCTACAGGGAGACCCTGTCTCAAAAAGACCAAAAAAAGTAAGTCTGAACACAGGGAGTGATGGTGCACACCTTTAATACCAGCACTTTGTGAGATTAAACTCACACCTTTAATCTCACTCTGTGAGATTGAGATCATCCTGGTCTACATATGAGTTCCAGGTGGGTTGGGGCTAGGGAGACCCTGTCCAAAAAAGAAGTAATATTGAGAAATGATAATAGAATAACACCCAACATCTATGTCTGGCCTCCATATACATGCACACACATGAACATGTACAGAGACATAAATCTAGAAATGTTACAGCAATAATCCTTTTAAATATTTATCTGAATTCCCAAGAAAGCATTTCATGGGGCATCAAAATGAACGATTTAAAAGATCAATGTCTATGTATCAAGCATTACCCTAGGTACTTGGAGACACACAGAACTGTATGATGAATACACTAGTGACTAAAATGGCAAAAATATATGTCATTTCGAGCTTATATATGTGATCTCTGGGTTGAGACTTTCAAGGAAGATTTCGTCAAAGTAAAAGCAGAACACTACTTGAAGAACTGAATAATGTGCCTAGAAAGGATCCTTAGTACACTTCTTAGAGAACATATTAGAGAAAGAAATCTGTAACAGACACCTATAAGCTGATTCACTTCCTAATTCATAAATAAATAAAAAGAGAAAAGTAAATGGACAGAAGTAAAAAAATATACAAAACTAGTTAAGACAGACAATTCATACAATGAAGAGCTTAGCAATCAATTCTTGGCTTTTTGTTTTAAGAGCAAGTGAAAAGGGTTAAAGATTCTTGGGGGAAATGATAGCAAATGTCTGTTAATACCTGCACTGGGGATGTGTGGGACTTGTTGGCCAGGCAACCCAGCCTATGATGAGTCCTGGGGCCAGTGAGAGACCCTGCGTCCAGCCTCCATGCACATCACACGCATGTGTGCACACTCACAAACACACACATATGCATGGGCACCCCCTCCCATAAACATGAACATGTATGCAACTGCATAAAAAAAAATATTCTCAGGGGCTCAATGGTCAAGAACACACACTGCTCTTTCAGAAGACTTGAGTTTAGTGCCCAGATCCCCTGTCTGGGGGCTTAACAACTGTCTGTAACTCCAGCTCCATGGTATCCATGGGCACTCCACTTGTGCACACATGCCTCTCCCACATTATTTAAAAATATTTTTTTTTTAAAAAAAGAAGAGTCCTAGAAAAACTTAATATAGCAAATACAAAAATTAGTAGAGGGGCTGGAGAGAGAGCTCAGCAGTTAAAGAGCAATGGGTGCTCTTGCAGAGGACCTAGGTTTGGTTCCGAACACCAACTGGGCAGCTAACAACTGCCCTTAACTCCAGATCAAGGGATCCAGTGCACTCTTCTGGCCTCCTCAGGCACTGCATGCATATGGTACACTTACATGCATCCAGGTAAACTACTCATACACATTAAAAAACAAAAAACTGAAGCAATAATCAAAATAAATAAGAAAAATACTTTCTTCAAGAAAAGAAACACACTAGTGCTGGATATCTCCCCTTGAGCTGTTGACAATGCTCTTGGTTGCTCACCACAGCTTGATGGTGAGACCCTATCTCTGAAGATACTACAGGCAGGACATGGAGAAATCAAGTTGATAGTAACCAGAAAATTTCCTCCCTGTTGGCTAACTTTCATGTAGGCTGCCAAGGGGAAAAAAGTCATCAAGTCTTACTAGCTATGAGCATGTGAACTATATAGTGACTGACATGGCAAGATATATGCCCATGGATACAATAGTGGCACAAATGTTATGGGAGTAACTAACTGCTTTCCAATCGGATTTAAGACCCACTCCACAGGACAAAACAAATGCCTGTTATTGTAAACTAGCTAAGAACTCATGGGTAGGGAGCGCACAGGCATCAGAGGTAAGGGCTGTAGTGGTTAAGAGTACTGGCTGCTCTTGAAGGAGTGAACCTACTACTACTATTCTGTTAAATGGGCATAGCATTTCTATACCTGTAGATTAGTTCAACTCTCAGGTTTCATTAGAGAAGTTTCTTTGTTCAGTAAAGATGATTAATGCAGAAACTCACAACTGGTCAAAGTGCAGAGAATAAATGTCAGAATGTCAGTGGAGTGCTCAGGCACAAATGAGACGTTTATACCACCCCCTAAACTTTACCCCCATCCCAGCAAAAGGCTCAGGGACCATCACAGAAAAGGGGGCTGAAAGTTTTTAAAAGCCAGAAGCCAGAGAGGACCAGACTGAAACAGTATCTTCTAGACATGACAGGATCCTTGTACTCATGAACTTATAGTAGCTCTGATTTCCTGCAAAAGATAAAGCCAGTCAACATTCTAGCATGGAGAAGGAAGGGATTTATGTTTGCTTCTGGGACAGAGTCAGTTTTTTTTTTAAGAGTATGGCCCATGCCCAGTAGTATATGGACAAGATAGACTGAACTTGAACTATTTAAAAATAAAAAAAAGAGGACATGAGTTGGGGTTAGGAGGTAGATCTGGAAGGAGCTGGAATGGAGGAGAATGTGAATATAATCAAAACACAAACACACTGTATGAAAGTCTCAAAGAATTAATACACTAGTTTTAGATTAAAAAAAAAAAAAATCACCGAGTACACTAAAGTAGGATTAAGGAGTAAGTTCCAAAACAGGACTACTGATCCTAGGAATTCTTTTTTTTTTTTTTTTTTTTAAAAAAAGGATGTGTATCCATACATGCATAGGTCTAAGCATATACCCAGACAGAGGTAAAAGTACAACTTGCAGAGTCAGTTCTCTTTATTAATCAAACTCAGGTGGTCAGGCTTAGGACAAATGTCTTTACTCACTGAGCTATCTCACTGGCCTAGAAATTCATGAATCATCAAATATTCCTAAGGCCCCCGCTCTTTCTCCTCTGTGTAAAAATATCTTCATATATTCATAAAGCTTGCTTTCCTATTTCTTTCAAATCTTCTGAATAACTCTTCCACCAGTGAGTTACTATTGACCATTCTAATAGACACATGCTCCCATCTGTCTGTCTGTCCATTTTTTTTCTAACTTTTGAGGGTCTCATGTAGCCTGGGCTAACCTCGTACTCCTGATCCTCCTCCCTTACATGTAGTGGGACTGTAGGCATGTGCCACCACACCAGGCTTTGCCACTCTATTTCAATTAATCTGTTTTCATAGCACTTTTATCTGCTATTTTACTCTTCACTATATATAAAACATAATTTAAACAGCGGAATTTTCCGTTTCCTCAGTTAATGCATAGAAAATTAGCAAAAAACATGAACACTAGATAAACATAAGGCCCTATCAGTTACTTCCAGCTATTGGTACACAATGAAACTCCTAGAAAGAGAAAACATAAATCTGAATTTTACTCTTTCAAAGATGGACTATTTGTTGCTTTTTACATAGACCATACTGTACTACGTAAACCAAGAACATGTGAAACCTCTTTTCTTACATAAGAATAGTTTCTAATAAATATAAT